AGGGAAGCCAGGATCTCAGGTGGCTGAGCATAAAACTTCCTCTCCCCTTCCAGAACTTTCCAGAAAAGGCAGCAAAGCCTGGTCTGTGATCGTGATCACTTACTCCTGGGCTTACCAGGAGCTAGGGCCCACCTAATGTGAGCAGTCAGAAGCAGGCGAGGTGAGTGGGCATGACCTTCCTGGCCAGTGCTGAGGCTGGAAAGCCTCCCCTGGCTCTGAGGCCCCTGTCTCTCACAGCCCAGAGCCCCTTGAATGGGGGGTTGGTCCCCTGGAGGAGGGTGTACTGTCCTCCAGGAGAACCCGAGCCAGATGCTAACCTCCACCAAAGGAACGGGATCTCATGGACCAGGGAAGGGGTGCTCCCAAACCTCTCAGGGCCCAGTGGACATGATACCAATGGCAAGAGGCTCCTGTCTTTTATTTTTATTTATTTATTTTAATGCCAGGGATTGAACCCAGGGCTGCTGTACCACTGAGCTACATCCCCAGTCCTTTTCACTTTTTATTTTTATTTTGAGACAGGGTCTCTCTAAGTTGTCCAGTCTAGTCTTGAACTTGGGATCCTCCTGCCTCAGCCTCCAGAGTCTCTGGGTTTCCACGTGTGCAACACCCCACCAGGCAACAAAGAACAATTGTGAGTGTAATTTTGACCTCATGGATTGACAGCAAGAGGCGCAGGGTCCTCTGGTGCCCCTGGACCACACTTTGAGACCCATGGCTCTGGGAGATTCTGGTCCAAAATACAGATCCAGGCCCAAACCAGGACTTGTTAGCCAAGGCTCACTCCCCAGCAGGGTGTTCATTTGTTGCTTTATTATTTAGCACAAATCAAGTCCCCAGATATTTAATTCTATTCTTAAGGAAGCAGTGACTTCTGAAATAAATAAGGACCAAGCTCAAAGGCCAGGGGCAGCCAGAGGCAGGTCGGGCAGGCTGTTATCAGTGTTGGCTGCTCCGTCTTCCCAGCAGGTTTGCACAATGCACCTTTGTTCTCTCTGAAAGGCGCATGTGTCTTAGGTGTAGTCCTGTGTACCCTGAGAGGAGTCACCGCAATAACAGTAAATATTCCCCTTGGGCGAGTGGAACAAAGGCCATTTCACTGCAGGTCGGAGGAGGGCTCATGAGCTGCTCCTGGCAGGCCCCTCACACTAGGCCGGTCACACTTGGCAGCGCACTGACCTTCGAATGGGTGTCTTCGGCACACCTTGACTTCCAGGGACAAGCCAGGCCCTTCTTCATTCCCAGGAGCTGCCGGTCGTCTTAGTCAGGGGCCACCTACTGTGAGTGGGTGAACTCATCACTTCAGGGGCCACAGAGATGAACCGACTTTTAGTTTCTGTTCCAGGAAGGACAGCCCCTGGGTGAACGCGGCCTGAACAAACCGTACCTGCACTGAGCTCCCCCTGTGTCCTAGGATGACTCACCCAGATGTTATCAGGAGGGAGAAAGTCCTCATAGGGTCCCCAGTGAGTCATGGGCCCCAACAGATACTGTGAGGCACCTAGAAACCACGGAGAAAATCGATCCAGACAGATCAGGGATTGTGCAAGCCAGGACTCCACCTCTGGGAGGGAAGACCATGGCAGACCCCAGATCACAGCAGCCAGCTCTGGGGGCGACAGGCAGGGGGTTCCCTAAGCCAGGGTGCCCCAACACCTGCTGTTAGCACAACATGTCGATCTTTCTGGGTTCTCCTCGAGTGCATGATGGTGGGGCGGGCAGTGGAGTTTCTGGAATGTAGGGGCAGGGCAGGGCATGGCCAGGAGAGGACCGTGGGCTGCCATTGGAACTGAAGGCCAACCTCAGCATCCAAAAACATGTCCTTCTAACAGACAGCCTGTGTCTCAAGATCTCAGCTCCTTCCTGCAGTTTTAAACACTGTTGACATTGTAAAATAACTTGGATGATAGCCTTTTATGGCCATCATAAATGTGAATTATTAAATATTTACCATGTTTATCCAAACTCAGGAGTAAGGTTAGAAGGATGTTCAGTGTACTCTAGTCTATAAAATTAAAAATTCATTTTCGTGTTTCCCTCTTCAATTTTTCAACTGTTTTGTTGTATTTCTGAAGCGGCACTATAATTAAGCATGGACAGAGAGAACCTGGCTTATACATCCTGTCTTATTTTGGGGTTCAATACTAATGTCAATTAAAACAGACAAGATGTTGCTTTAAAATCAAGAGAAACGATGCCACAAGAATATGTAATTTATTTGACACCTTCTTAATGATGATAGTAAATAAAATTGTTTAAGGAACATAGACTTATTTATAATGAAATACCATCTAAATTTCCTCACCTCTCCCAACATAAGCATTTGCATCCTCATCAGTGACAGCCACTCATCTACGTGGTGCAGGCATGCCAGCTCTGCCCTGGTCATCGTGGGGGTGTTAAAGGTGACAAGTTGGGCTTTGTGTTTGACCAAGTCAGTGCCATCTTCCCAGTATCATGAGGACTTGCACCCTGCTCATCCATGTTCCTGAGACCAGTCTAGAGCGACTGGCATCAGGTACCCTGTATTTCCCCTGGTGGTGTCATATGGTGACAGAGAAACCCAGGCTCTTGTGATGCACGCTAGTGGTTCTCCGCATCAGCTCACCGGCGGGCAGCAGGTGCTTAGTAAATGTTTGCCAAATGAAGGTCAGAGTTCAGGAGCTGGTTGCAGATGGAAAAGCACAATGATTATGATGTCATTAAACAACAAATTTTGTAAGAAAACCTCCAACTCCATGAAGACCCCTTTTTCTAATTAATATGTGGCCTTCTCTATGTGACCATCTCAGGCTTGTCAAGGGACACAGGCACTTCAAGAGAAAGTTCAGGAGAGGGTGGTGGGGGAGGTGTGTACATACACACACACATGCACACACACGTACAAACACAAACACACAACACACACACCTACACATAGGCCTTTGTACACATATAGCCACACACACATATGCTCATACACACAGTCACAGTCACTGTACACATGTGCACACACAGACTCACACACACAGACTGTGACCTAACTGCTCCCAGCCACGCCAGCCTTGGCTCTCCTGGAGAGATTCCCGAAGTCCCCTGTCCCTACGCAGAACTTCCTCAGCCCTGCCTGGAGGGCCACGGGGATCGCTGTCTCCACTGCTTTTGTGTGCTTGGGTCTAAACTGCCAAAGCTGGGAAAGAAACTAAGAAAAACTTACACTTAGAAAAAAAAAAAGTGGCCCCAAAACCACATTTGGACTAAGAAACAGAATGCAGGCCGACATTTTATTTTTAAGCTTTTGCCACTGGATATTTTAGTTTGCATTATACTGGGGTCTAATTCAGCTCAGCAGCCACCCAGTAGAAGGAGAGCTTGCAGCACACACAGGGCGGGTTCTGTTTTGGGTATATTTTGAGAGGCAGCCGGAGAGCGTGCATCCAATCTGGCATGCGTCCCATCCTGGTGACGCCATTCCCAAGCTGTGTGACCTGGCGGCGGGACCCTGTCCATGCTACTGGGAGGACCAGTGTCCACCCTGGCGCTCCGTCCATCATCTGTCCTCTATCTATCGCCAGTTGTCTTTCAATCACACCAGCGGCCCCCAATCTATGCTGGAAGTACAAGTGCTGTCACTCACTGGCCACGCTGCATCCAAAAGTGATCCAGTTTTATGCTTTTGTGTAAGGCAGGATCGTTTCCTGCTCCAGTTTGAGAACCTGGTAGGACAACGGAAGTGTGAGAGTCTAGTAAAATGTCATAAAATGGAAGACAGAGGAAACGGAAGTGTCAAGTGACCTATGACATTGACACAGACCGAGCAGGCCTGTGACTTTGCAGAGAGCTAGCTTTCGCTCTTAACAGTAAATGCACAGGCTGCAGCACTTTCAGCTGGGGGTTCACTGACTGCTCAGGTCACCTGGTGGTCAAAAGCCAGGCCTATTCTTGTGTTTCGATCTTAAGTCACACTTTCACGGTGAGACAGGTGCTGCACAAAGGCCAGGAGAGGGCTAGGGTGGGGGCTGGCTCAGAGCGAGGGCAGAGGAGAGGCCCTGCAGGGTCAGACGGCGCTGGGAAAGATCAGTGTCAGGAAGGGGGGCAGTTCAGGGGTCAGCCTGGAGTCAGCCTGGAGTGACGGGGGGTCACACGGGAGAACCCACACCAGCCATGCTACGCTGAAGGGACAGCAGAACCAGAGGCTCATCCTTGTAGGGATTTTCACAGGCAAAGTTTGTGACAACCGACCAGGTGACAGGGTCACTGTGTGGCTGTGTCCTGTCTTGGGGTGCTCCTCCTTCATGGGCCTCGGGTGAGGGGGCTGCCTTATTCCGCGGCCTGGGTGTTTGCTAAGCTCGTGGGCCTGGTCGTTCTGACCCAGGGGTGATGTCCCCTGCCACCCCGTGCTTCTCATTGATTCAACACGTTCGCAGGAGGTCATTATTTATTAGCACCATTAATTTGTGTATCATTTGTGCCCTGTGGTGGTGCTGGGCAGAGGGTCGGTGTTTACCTGTACAGACGAGGTGTAGAGTCACTCTGCCTCAGGATTCACACTCAAAATGGAGCAGCTGACGGCAAACTGCTGCTTTCGAAGACGGAGCAGTTAGGGTGAGGCCCAGCCTGAGAACTGCTGTCTACACAGAGCAGGACACAGCCTGCTCTCGACAGCAAAGCCTCATTTTTTATTATTTTGTTCTATCCTGCTCTTGGGTAGCCGATTAGTAATAAATAACCTTTCAGGGTCCCCTCACGTGGGACAACGGAATGGATTACCCAGCCATGGTCAGTGGGAGCTGCAGTCCCCCAAACTGGGCACCATCTGAGCACACAGCAGTTTTCTTACTCCATAAAACGCAACCCTCAAGGTCAGAGCCTCCTGTAGGGTGGCGGGAGGTGGTGCTCAGAGTCTGATGGCCGAGTTCCAAAGTCCTCCTTTCAGCCAGGCAAACAGAGTCGACTTGGGTTTAATAGAACCTGTTGCTGGGTTAACAATGAAAGAGTTTTCTGGTGAGCCCAAAGTAAAGGTGACAGTGTTTACCAGAGAGCCCTTCCCTGGGACAGAGGCCTGACCAACCAAGCAGTTGGCTTCCCAGCAACGCCCCGGGTCTGAAGGGAGGCCAGCTCTCTGCGCTCATTTGGGTGGCTTGTTTATTTCCACACGTTCCTGGTTTAGTTATCATCACCACCTTTTGATCGTCTCTTAATGGGCACCGTAGAAGACACCTGTCCATCTTACCAAGAATATTCACCAAAGGCCACGGAGCCAGCCTCGGCCAAGGTGAACCACTGGTAGAGCCAGTCCTACTCTCCAGCCACCCACCATGTCTGTGAGTAAAATGAACAGCCAATAGGCGCCAGAAGAAACCCACATGGTTGGAGTTTAAGACCCAAGTGTAAATAGTTCATGGACAGGAGGATTAGAGAGGGCGTGCTGGCTTGCAGGCTATCAAAACAAGGCCAAGCCTCTGGGCGCTTGGATCAACACAAGCCTATGTTCTCACAGTTAAGATCCAGATGCCCATGGACTGGATTCTTCTGAGGCAGATCTTCTGGTTTGCAGCGGTCTTCCTGTCTGTCTGTCTGTCCCACCCTCTCCTCCCTGTTTGCAGACCCCCATCACATTGGACTAGGGCCCACCCTGAAGACTGTTTTAACTTAATTACCTCTTTACAGGCCCTATCTCCAAACAGAGTCATGTTCTGAGGAATGGGGGCCCTCAGCATTTCATTCTGGGGGTTAAACAGACCTTAGCCTGAGGTCTCCTCCTTTTGTGAGAAATAGAAAGTTCCATGATCCATTTTCAGAACACAGCATTCAGCCTTATTTGGGATATAAGATCCAATCGTAGACACTTTAACTTCAGCCCTTCCCTTTGTCCGCCCCAATTTTAAAATGAACCAAGCACACAGGTGGCCACCGAGCTCCTCCTATCGGAGCAAGGGGCAGCGCGCGTTAGGGATAAAAGCAGGTGGACTTCCCCACCCAGGTGTGCTTGCTGGATGTGTGGGGAGCATGCCCTTCTGCAGAAGTCAGGTTGGCCTTGCTGAGCTACTTCCAAGCACGTGTTTGATTTCCTGTGGTACCTGGTATTTCTAACACGTTGGCGAACTCTCTCTCTGGGACTCCTGAGATGTCTTGAATTGGCCAAACCATCCTGAGCCCAATAGCTACAGAGGTCACGTGTGACTATCCATCCAACAGTCCCAACTGAACCAACCTTCTGGCCATCCTCAATAAGATGACAATCTCAATAAGTGAGACCCTCTCGGACCCTCTGGACCAGCCCAGCTGCCCGCTGAATGCCCTAGCTGTGTCAGTCAATGCCTGGAACAGAGCAGAACAGGTTTCATTCACCTGAGACCTGTTCACGCTCATGACACCAAGTCATGACAACAATAAATCTACTTGTTTTAGGTTGCTAAGTTTGTGTGTGTGTGTGTGTGTGTGTGTGTGATGTAGTAGTAGATATAGATATCCAGACAAAGGTTCAAAGAAGAATCGTAATGAAAATTAGAGAATATTTGCAAGAAGTACAATAATAGCTTTAAATGTTGATGTTGTGGGGGGCAAAGAGCAAGATTGAAAATTAATGAGATAAGCATCCATCTTAATATGGTAAGAAAAGAACAGAAAGACAAATAAACTTGGGGTCCAAGCATGCAGGCCAGATTGTGAAGTCTGTGTGCGCATGAGAGAGGGTCCACCCGTCCATCTGGCGTGCCACAGCGGGTGTGGGTGTGGGCTGAACAGCTCCTGGACTCCCTAACTGCCTTTCTGCGGCTGCCGTCAGCTTCGGCTGCCTCCTCCAGGTCTGTCTGTGTGGTCCAGTGACCATGTCTCCCCTCTACTGAGAGTCGGAGATTCTCCCCAACTCACATGGACAGTCAAGCTGGCAGTCCACGGTGCTGCTCCACTCTGTGCCTGAGGACAGACTCTGACCTGTCCTAGTCTTGGCCGCCATTGCTACCTGAGTCACTAAAGGACCTAAAGCCACTTACTTCTGGCTGCCTGACTTTGGAGCCATGGCTTTCCTCAGTCCACCTTCAGCGTCCTCAGAATATGCCCCCACATGACACTCTCACTAGCCTTTACTTCCTGCCATTCCCCAGAATTGGCCCACGAGCTGTCCCACTAGGCTCTGTCTCACAAGTGCTCACCAGACACCTCAACCAAGTAAAAGGACCAGGGTTCTAGAGTCAGACGGGCCTGTCACCTGGGGCACAGGATCATATTATTTCCAATTTATCATGGCCATTGTGAAGATTAAAAGCATCATTGCTCAAAAGCTAAATGCAGACCTACGCTACGGCCAGTTACCTCCCTCCTAGGAGCACACTCAAGAGGGATGAAAATATCTGTCCACACGGAAATGTGCTCCAAGTGCCTGTAGCAGTGTTGTTCATAGGAGCCAGAGTGAAGGCGACCCAGCACGGCGGACTGGTGACTGGACACAGTGTGGTCCATCTGTGCTGCATCAGATGAACCTGAAAACATCATGCTAAAAAGCCAAACACAAAAGGTCACAGGTTGTCAGATTCTGTGCATGAACTTCCCAGAACAGGCAGATCCACTGAGAAAGAGAGCCGAGACCCTGAGCCAGTCGCCAGGGCCTGAGGGAAGGAGGCTGGAGAGGCGTTGCTTGAGGGGTGTGGGTAATTTTTCTAGGGTGATGAGTAGGATTCCAACATTGTGAACATACTAAGTGCCACCAAATTTTACATCTTAAAATGGTTAATTGTATGTTAAGCACACAATTGAGAAGAAGATGAAAGGAGCCAAGGGCAGGTGGTAAGTAGAGAAGGAGAGGTATCTTATCACCACCGTCACCCACAGCACTGGCCGGCTGAAGTCTGGCTGGCTCCCAGCAGGTCCGTCCTAAGCCCTGGGTATGCTGCTTTGGAGACTCCACAATAAACTATATCACATATTTTAAAATGCACTCATTTCCGATCCTAAATATTTTCTAATATAAAAAAAAACTTGAGAGGATTTTTAAAAAATAACATTGCTTTCAAAAGTAATTGGCTAAAGTAACTAATTCCATCCATTGTACATGCTTGAGAATTCTGAATTCTGATGAAATGAGAAAAATCAGCTCACATATTGTTTTAAATGTGGGAATTTCCACATATGAAAAGTTTAAATTGAGGAATTCGCAGTTTGTTGAACGTTTCATGAGACAATTTTGATCTCATAGTTTTCCTTTCTCTTCCAGGCTTTCAGAAACTTTCACAAGTTCCTAAAAAAGTTATGGGGTCTAAGCACCAGCCCCCGCTGCCTAATGGGTAAGTTGGCCGTATTCCTGTGGCCCTTCACTATGTGTTCTATTATTTACAAATTCCTTTAGATAGCAACTTTTTCAAGCTTCTTAGTGGAATTGTTTTTCCGATCGATATCCTCTCTGTTTCCAAAAGAGGAATTTTCTCGAAGCCCTAATTCATGAGAACTGATATTTGATCCCTAAATATAGGACTTCCATCAAATTCCTTTTGTACTGCACTATGCAGCTGGATGAAGGGTCACCCTGTGGTTGCATTAAGAGGGTCCACATGGAGGACACAGACGTGCACTGCATAGCCAAAGAAGGATGATCATATAAACTGAAGGGCAAACTCAGAACGTGGCGTTCAGGGAAGGCTGTCTTAGAGGAGGTGGTATGTGTCCCCAATATGAGAGGACAGCAGACAGGATTTCAATGGGCCCAGTCATGTTAGGGGGGCTGGTTTAATAGTGAGGTCCTGTCAACACGGTTTCCGCTCCTGAAGGTCGTGTGAAGCCAAAAGAGTGTTTTTGCTAATTCTTTAAGGAGTTTGGGTTTTATTTGGATGAAATTTACATAATCAGAGGATGAAGCTGGCAGCGGGTTTGCCTGGAGTGACGGTCCAATACTGAGCAGTCTGGAAAGGAAGGTTGGAAGAGTTCAGGCGAGAGGGAACAAGGGGGACACCGCACATCTGTCCATCCAGAAAGTACTCTGAGGGATGTCACCCTGTCACTGCTGTCCCTGCTGGGGCCCCTGGGGACCAATACAGGCCAGGACCACTTGGATGGTGCTGACAGAGGGCTCTGTTGAAAGCCTTCTGAGCCCAAGAGTGACTGTTGTGCAGGCCCAATGTCATCAGCCTCATGTTTGAAGTCACCCGTGTTAGTGTTTTAAGGCTGTTGGAACAAATGGCCACAGACAGTTGTTCAAAACAACACACAGAAGTTCTAAAACCCAGGTGTCGTGGGCTCTGCTCCTTCCAGAGGCTCGGGAGGAAATCTGTAGCTTTGCCTTTTCCTGTTTCTGCAGGCCACCTGCATTCCTGGGCTCCCGGCCCCTCCTCCATCTTCGAGGCCAGTAGTTTAACACCTGTCCCTCTCCCTCTTGCTTGACCTCCACCTCCATCATCACCCCCTCTTACCTTATAAAGATGCTGGGATGACCTGGATGACCTGGGATCATCTCCCCAACTCAAGGCCCTTTCACAAAGTCTCTCTGGCCATGGAAGGTGACATATTCACAGGCTTCCATATGAGGACTTGGGCAGCCTCGGAGGGCTGTTATCTACCCACCACATCCTCTGAGCCTTGGCCTAATGTTTCCTCCTCTTGACTCCTCTTCTCCATCCTCCACTGGAAGTTTCTGCTCCAGCCAAGCTGGGGTTCTCACCTCTTGCTCCCAGGCTTGCCTCCTGACCTACAGAGAACTCCTCCAAGTTCTTACCCTCTGTCAGGAACCCTGGCCCCCGAGTGGAGCTCATGCCTCCCTCCTCAGGCCTATTCACTGCAACAAGAGCCTGTTAACTTCTCTCTTCTTCCTCTGAGGGCGGCCTGGGCCATCTGCATTCCTACAGTAGAGTTGGGTGCACCGTCAGGAACTGCTGGAGAGAATAAGCAAAGTGTGACGTGACCTGGACAGAGAGTCTGGGGAGGTCACGCAATATCAGGAATGAAGATGTACAGTCCAGTAACTGTCGGCAACAGCCCACCGCTCCCAAGAACAGAACCACAGGAGCAAGCAGCGCCCGGCCATGGGCTTGGGTTGGAACTCCACAAGAACCCCCAGGCCCCCCAATTTTGAGTCATGGAATTACTCAGCTGGGCTGGGGGATTTCATGCTTGTCTGTTAAGGAACAAGGAATCCATTATTCTCCAATGATCTGGACACAGTTGTGCTTAGAATCAGGGAATGAACTGAATCAATCCTTTTAATCCCAAGAATCCAATGTGAATTTAGCCCCCAAGTGAGCCTGACTGTACCCCTTCATTCTCTGCTTCTCTTTCTCTTCCCCACTGTGACTGATTTGGGGACTGATTTTGAATTGTGATCCAGACCAGGAAAATGCCAGAAAACACATTAATTGAAGGCACCCTGGTTGGAAACCTGTCTATAATTCCCAGAAACTAGATGGTGAGTCAGAATCATAAGCACTAGCTGCTATGACAAACAGTCTTCACGGCTCGCCACCGTGTGATGCAGTCCAGGCAGTTCTCCTGAGCTCCCAGGACTAACTGATGGATCCTATCTAACTCTTTGAGAGGACTTCTTCAATGCATGACCCTTGGGGTCATCACAGATGAGGAAGATGAGGAAGAGAGTCTGTTAAAGATCAGTCAGGGAGCCTTATGGCCAAGTCTACCAGTAGCTTCCATCACTGCTGCCCGCATTCCATTGGCCAGAACTCAGGGAGAAGCCAGTAGAACTACAAGGGAGGCTGGGACATGCAGTCTTACTGGACACGCAGAAGAGGACTCAAAACTGTCCATCTCTGCTACACCCGGTAAACAGTCACCAAGCATCACTGTGGCCTCCTCTGAGTGTCTGATTAATGTGACGTTCACCCTAACGCTCACAGATATCCACATCCTAAGGATACAACCAGAGGTTGCCTTAACAACTTCTGACAGTTTGCCCAGCCGTGCTTACCTGTGAATGGTGATCTTCATCAATGAAAATGCTCAGGTACGGGAAGAGTGTAGCACACGTCCTAAAGTGAATCATAATTAGGACTTTTTTATTTTACTTTGGGATAGTATTATAGGTTAGATCCCAAATCTCCCTCCCCCTCAAAGCCCATGTGTTAAAGGCTTGGTCTCCAAGCCAGTGGTGTTCAGAAATGGGGCCTTTGAAAGGTGGTTGAATCATGAGGGACCTACATCAATGGCTGAATACATTGGTGGATTCACCATCTAATGGGTTATGGAGGGATAGTGGAAGCTTAGAAGGTAAGGCCTACCTGGAGAAAGCAGTCACTGGGGACATGTCCTAGAAGGCTATATATTGTCCCTGGCCCATTTTCTCCTCTCTGCCCCCACCTCTGCATGGGTGTGTGTGTGTGTGTGTGTGTGTGTGTGTTTCTTAGATACCACTAGGTGAGTAGATTCCCTTCCACCATGATGTTCTGCTTTACCAAGGCCCAGGAAGAGTGGAACCAAGTGACTGTGGGCTGAAACCCTGAGTCCAAATATATTTCTTCTTTAAATGGATTTTCTCAGGTAGTTTGTCATAGTGATAGAGAGCTGACTAATACAGATAGCTTAACAGAGAACCAAGTTCCAGATAATTTGGCTTTATGACAAATAGCTAAGACCTGGGCTTTTCTACCTCAAACCTTGGCCAACCATGGCCCACTCCTGATATGGTGGATGCCAACTCTCCTCCCCTGTGCCTGCATGGTGGAGCCTGGGATGCTCTGGCTGGAACCTGGCAGGGTGGCCTCCTGGCCTGCCTCATCTCAGCACAGCACCCCAACATAATCTGTCACATTCTCCCAGGCAATATCAGTAGTGTAAGCATCTTCCCTTCCCTGGGAAGCTTAGCCCAAAGGCCAGGAAGGTCTTTGGTGTGACCTTTCAAAGGGATGGAGGACCTGCTTTGGCAGGGTGAGTGGAATTTTTTACCATATAAAGGATGGTGTGATCAAAATATGCACTGGCCTTCTGTCCCTAATTCCTGCGTGGTTTGAATTCTTTCCTGCATCTCTTGCATTCAGTGTATGTGAAAATGCTTCTGGCGCAGCCTGGCACACCACAACATGTGAATCTCTCTGTTTCTAGAGGACCCTTCCCCCTGGTTCTGACTCTCTCCACCCTCCCTCTGAGAATGCTCTTCCCCCAGAAATATCAACTCTTCTGCTGACTTTCTAGTTTCAGGACCTTGCTTTGAGAAACAAGCTGCAGCCTGGACAAGCTCGGAGTCCACCCTGGCTCCAGACTCCTGCTGGCGTCTGGGTCCTTCTCTCACTGACGTCAGCTGAACTGACCCCCAGATTCTGCCGGGTTATTTCCCAATGCCTTCTACTCAGTCCTCCCTGAGATCGTATTCCGAGGAGGTCCGAGCAGAAAGTCTTCCAATAACTCCACGAACGCCCGCGAACACAAGAGCCCAGGATGTCTTGCGGCCAGCCTCCCCTGGGTGGACGCCCCGTGGCTGTGCTGCACCCACACCTGCTCTGGTGGGGCTGCTGGCCTGTTCACGGGAAGCAGAACGTTCTGTCTTCCACTCTCCCTGTCCTGGCCCTGCGAAGATTCACCTACTGGGAAAGCTAGGAAAGCCAAGATGTCTTTGAACTTAACTGTTTTATGTGTTTTCTTAGCATTTTGGTCTGGGACATCTGTCTTTGCTTAAAAGCACATCTATTTATATCAACAACCGTTTATATCGGGTCCTTGGAGACCAATTCATGCAGATGTTGCCTATTGTGGGTTTTTCCTCCGATTCACTTTGAAAAAATGTGGAATTCATTACTACCCTGCTCCCTCCCCAATAAAGTTAAATCCCAGAAATTTGCAAACCTTACATTTCTGTGTACACAAAATACATTCCCTGAGCTTCTCACAACATGTGACTCACGTCACTGTTGTGATGGACAGACTGATGAATCATGCTCGTGTTACGAAGGCTGGGAGACCGTGGTCTTGAGGGAGCAGATTTGCTTAGAGGGTTGGTAATGGGCTTACTCATTCTAATGGAGACCAGCATGTAGGCTGTGACCTGCACATGCACCGCCATGTTTGTGCAACCACTGCCTTCCAGGTCCAAGGGCAGGTTGGCGGCACCTGGGGGAGGCTGGGGTGGCATCAGGCAGCCCAGCAGTAAGCAAGCATCAGAACAGACGGCCAGTCTCAGGGTGGGGCAACAGAGTGGGAAACAAAAGCCCATTTGCATCTGGAGTGGCTCAGGCCCTGTGCTTTCCGCACAAGACTCTGACAGACGCCATTCTGTGTCTCCCTGTTTGATTCTTTGGCCTTCTCTTTACCTTCCTCCTCTGCCATTCCATTCACTGGTGGCACCCAGCAAACTAATCCTATTTAGCTTGTGTTCATCTGCTGTTTGTGCCTGAAGAGTCCATGCTGATGGAATATGGGTTACCAAGCCACTTCTGCCTTACCTGGTGAAATGACATGTCAGTGCGGGCACCAGAGACCTCCTTTCTTAGGGAATCATTTGTCCTGGAGAAAGTCCCCTTCACGCGATTTACTTCAGACCAAGAGCACAACTCCACAGAACCAGGACAAGTGGCAAAAAGAATGTGGCACAAGAACTTCATCTTGGAAGACGCAATGTAAAATGGTGAAGTTAAGAGGGGGTCATTTTATTGGAACTTTTAGGCCACAGTTGTGCCATCAGCCTTCCTGGTGCTCTGCACAGTTCCAGTAGCTTCCCAGGGACTTTAACTTTATGAAACCCGTTTGTCCTGGGCAAGAGCAGAAGCTTTGCTTTGCCACCAGGAGCACTGTGTTTGCACAGTGCTTTCAGTTAACAAGACTGTCATCAACCCAGACCCAAAAGACTGCCAAGGAGCTGGCACTGGGCGTGAGGGATTCAAGGGTCCCTGGCTTCTCCAAGAGATCAAAGCGCAAGAGAGCACTTACGAACCACACTTACATACGCTTAATCAAAATATTCTAATTTTAGGAGAGATGCTCAGATAAAAAAAAATGACATATGTTGGTTATCTATTATGAGGAAGACACTTTGTTTCTGTCAATTCTTTAAATTTCATGACACCCCAATCATTTAAGTGGGAATACCCTGTTTACAGATGCAAGACATTAGAGGCTTAGAGAAGTTAAGAAACATGCCTGAAGTCACACAGTGGACATGAGCAGAGCTGAGGTCCATAGTCAAATATTCCTGATACTCAAACCTGTGGTCTTAATCTCTCCACACGTTTCACCCACGTCTAGGCGATTAAATATCTCAAGGTCACAACCCTCGGTGGACAGCAAACCAGCACAAGGTTTTCCAACATCCCAACCTCTGACCTCCTCTAAGGGAAATCCTTTCCAATTCAGTTGAAAGATAAGGCCAACGAGAGGGACGCAGTTGAGGCCACACCTGAAATGAGACATCTTTCGGTTCCACCTGCTGCCAAGTCTCTGCCCCTGTCACAGAGCAACTTTGACCGCCCTTCAGAGCACCAGAGCACGTTCCCATCGGGAACAAGGTGCTAAACATAATAGAAACCCTCCCTGGGGATGGCTGTCTCTATAGCTCATTTGTTTTTCACCCTAGATTGGAACAAGCCGACGTCCACTCTGAGAAGACGCTCCAAGCCCCTCACAGCCCCGGTCATGTTCTGCGAGCCCGTGAAGCCGTCTGCAGCAGAGCACGGGGGCAGTTTGTGCTTGTGTGGCCCATGAAAGACCTTGGGAATAACTCCAAGTCCTCCGTGGGTGTTGAAGGCACAACCTGGATTACGGCTAGGATGGGCAGGTGGAGACACACAGGTGGACAGCTGAGTCACCGCTGTATTTGCATGGCAGCCTCTGATTGGCTGCTGGGTTGCCCCGCCCACATGAGCTTTGCACCGGGAAACCAGGTCTCCACCACCTGTTCAGCATCTGCAGGTGAAAGAAACAGCAGATCATCCTCCAGCCAGGCTCTGCCGCTAGGAGATCAGCCCTTCAGAGTGGATCTCCTCACCTCTAACGTAAAAATATAGCAGAACTGGAGGATCAGGCAGAGACAGCTGGACAGGAATGTGTGAGTTAATGGGCAGCAATTCAAAGTTCATTTCTAGCGAAGGACAGAAGGGAGCGATTGGACTTTGCACAGAAGGTGGGTAGTTTGTTTGTTTTCACTTAGGATTGGCGCTTCCTAAATACTAAAATCACTTTGCCATGTGAGAAGACATCTGGGAATACAGATCCAAAAGAAAATCAAAACCAGTGCATTCCAACCGAGAGCGTTATGGAAACCAGCCTTTGGTGAACTTGACAACCACTGAGAATTCGTCTCCTGAAGCTGGGGGGAGGCTGGATCCCAAATGACTCTGCCTGAATAAACAACCTTCTCCACCATCGAAGATATCAGGAAAAAAAAAAAGATTTATATGACACATTTAGGCTTGATATTGCAAATCCCCTCTTCAATGAACTAAATTCCAAACCCTGTTAATCATTTGTGTAGGGTGTATATTTGGATGTGACGTAGCTACAATTAGGCATAATTAAAGCCACCCACTTAGAGCATGCTGAAAGACCAGGATTTAAAAATAGGAGCTGAGTAATTAGGATCATTAATAGGAACTGATTGTTTAGTTTGTGATAGCTCAAAATAAATAGGTATCAGCAGTTTTCTGTTTCCCATGAAAACACACAGAGCAGAGCCCAGTTTCCTTAGAGGGAACCCTGAAAACCCCTCCGGGTGGCTCTTGCTCCTCATTTCCCTTTTATTTGATGGTGGCTGGTTCAGAACATTGGTGTTAGGCTGCTGAGAGTCCATGCGGCTGTTTGTGGGTGTTGGAGGAAAATGCTCCACCCTGGCAGAGCAAGCCCTTGGGTTCAGCCTCCAGTCCCCCTGCCTGAACATAGTAGGCGGTGGCCCTCCTGGGGCAGAGGCCTCCTGCAGCTAATTCTTCGTCATCTCTAGTCCTGTGGTTGGTTACTGCATGGATTTTTCTGAGGCCACAGTGAATCTATTGATGCAATTCCTGGCTCACCCACAGCCTATTACTACCTGCCCTTAAATAAACAGCTTATATACACATGCTGCCACTGTTTGGGATGCTTCACATGCTTCTGCCTTCCTGGTGGGCTTCAGGGCACCCAGTGGCACATGCACTGAGACAGTGGCAACTTTCACAACAAGGAGATGGCTGGCCTTGGCCCACAAAGCCACCTCAGGAGTGAGAAATCCAGATCTGGTGCCAGGTGGCGATGGGGGTGGGCTGGGGACAGGGTGGGAAAGTCAGAGGCTGGATTCTGGAATGCATTGCCTAGTTAGAAGCCAGTGGAAAAAGGAGATTTTTTCCTGGCCATGATTTTTTTTTTTCTTAGTCTTGAGATGGATTTTATTCACAGGAATCTAGAGTGTGTATGTGTCTTCTTAGGCAACTAACCACATGAGAGGCTAAGCTCCTATCCCTTCATTTTATTTTATTTCATTTTTGCAGTGCTGGGGATCAAATCCAGGGCCTCACATGCTAGGCAAGTGCTCTACCACAGAGCTACACCCCCGCCCTTCCTGCCCTTCATGGTGGGAATCATTGTTGTCCAGTGATGAGCAGGTTTGCTCTGAAGTATGAGATGGTGCCTGACTTAGCCGCATGGGTTGAAGCCCTCCTCTCGTGGTCTAACAGGCCATCCCTGGCCTCTCTGGAAGGTCTGTGATGTCCAGGGAGCTACAGTTCAACCTAATGACATAGTGTAACATGTGGAATTAATTTTCCTGCAACTTTTTCAGGGGAGAGTGAAATGGTTCAGGTTAGGTTGAGATTCACAAGAAAAGGATGCGATCTGTAAGTGAATCAAACAGGGCTTGTGCCTGGTATGGCCAGAAGGAGATCCCCCTGAGAGTGATGTGGCGCAGGTTCTCAGCCTCGCTGTCCTGACACATGAGTGTTACTGACTTTCTTCCTCATGGGAACTGCCCTGTGCAGGATGTTTGGCAGCGTCCCAGCCTTCACCCACTCAGGCCAGTGGCGTCCCCTCCCGCCCTCACCCTCAGTGTGACAATCAAAGATGTTTCTGGACATTTTCAAATGTCCCCTAGGGTTGGGGGCTCCTTCCCCCCCCGTGAAGAACCTCTACCATAACATGGTCCACCAGAGTGGGGAAATGAGCTTCACCCTTCTCAAAATTTGTTCTTGGGGTGTGCAGGGAATCACTGGATTTCAAGATTATTTATACTCTGAGAGAAGTCTTTGTTAAACACGGGTTTTTCATGTTTTGGGTTTTCTTTCTGGTTTATTTCCCCAAATATTAAGATTTAGGAATTCAATTACAGATGAGCTTTTCTCTCATACTATGTAAGGTATCCAACTTCAACTGACTCAAGATAAAAATACAAAATTCTACCAGTTCTTTGACTCTTTTCTGCACTGACAATTTCTAATTACCCATCACTATTGATTCTCATCAAGGCCACTTTCTCCCAGTCTCAGAAGAGACACTTCCTACATTTCTAGCGATGAACCATACCTTTAAAATCAGCTGATGGGTTGGGATCCTTTTTAAAACCTACTGCTATCCAGTCCTCGTGGTGTGTCAAATTAATGTGCTGCAAACTGTATGGTGGAAACAGGCGGTGTCTCCCCCGGGCACACTGTAGTTGGTAATCACCTCTCTATCCTACACAGCTGCTCTGAGATTTCTTCATTACAATTACTCTCTGAGATAAATCTGTACCTCTGATGTGGAAAGAGCTCCATAATGCAGTGAGTGAAAAGGCAGGCGTTGGACTCTGTGATTTTAAATAAGATGAAACTAAACAAAATGATATCGGAGCATGTTTGCAGGGGCACGAGGACCCTACAGCTAACGATGCTC